GGCTCGATCGGCTCGCGGCTCGGCTCGGCTTGGCTCGCGGCTCGGCTTGGCTCGCGGCTCGGCTCTGCTCGGCTCAGCTCGCGGCTCGGCTCGGCTCAGCTCGCGGCTCGGCTCGATCGGCTCGTGGCTCGGCTCGGCTTGGCTCGCCTTGCGGCTTGGCTCGGCTCGGCTCGCGGCTCGGCTCGGCTCGGCTTGGCTCCCGACTCGGCTTGGCTAGGCTCGCAGCTCGGCTCGGGGCTTGGCTCGGCTCGGCTCCGGGCTCGGGGTTTGGCTCAGCTTGCGGCTCGGCTCGGCTAGGCTCCGGGCTTAGCTCGGCTCGGCTCCGCGCTCAGCTCGGCTCACGGCTCGGCTCGGCTTGGCTCATGGCTCGGCTCGGCTCGGCTCCGGGCTCGGCTCGGTTTGGCTTGCGGCTCGGCTAGGCTCGCCTCGCGGCTTGGCTCGGCTCGGCTCGCGGCTCGGCTTGGCTCGCAGCTCAGCTCGGCTTGGCTCCCGACTCGGCTTGGCTAGGCTCGCAGCTCGGCTCGGGGCTTGGCTCGGCTCGGCTCCGGGCTCGGGGTTTGGCTCGGCTCAGCTCGGGGCTCGGCTCGGCTCGGCTCGCGGCTCGACTTGGCTCGGCTCGTGGCTCGGCTTGGCTCGGCTCCGGGCTCGGCTCGGCTCGGCTCGTGGCTCGGCTCGGCTCGGTTCGCGGCTCGGCTCGCGGCTCGGGTCGCGGCTCGGTTCGGCTTGGCTCCGGGCTCTGCTCGGCTCGGCTCCGGGCTCGGTTCGGCTCGGCTCGGAACTCGGCTCCGCTCGGCTCTGGGCTTGGCTCGGTGGGGTTTGGGGAGAGGTGGGCAGGTGTGTTAAGAAAACTGGCCGTGAGTAGGAACATACTGTGATTGTCGGACGATGAAGTCCCCACAGAACCGCCGCAGGAGCTGAGGAACATTGTAGCGTATGTAGATATAGAAGTCCAGTACTGGTGCTGAGAATAAGTAGGACGTAAGAAGCACTCTCCTAAAACGACCAGACCTAAGGCCCGTAGTAGTAAGTTGATATGTATGTAGTAGCTGACAGTATCGAGGAGAGGTGTGTGTGGGGGGGGGGGGTCAAAGACCAAAGGCTCGGCTCGGCTCGGCTCCGGGCTCAGCTCGGGCTCGGCTCGGCTCGCGGCTCGGCTTGCGGCTTGGCTCGGCTCGGCTCGGCTCGCGGCTCGGCTCGGCTCGGCTCGGCTCCCAGCTCGGCTCTGCTCAGCTCCGGGCTCGGCTCGGCTCGGCTCGGCTCGGCTCCGGGCTCGGCTCGGCTCGGCTCCGGGCTCAGCTCGGCTCGGCTCCGGGCTCCGCTCGGCTCGGCTCCGGGCTCGGCTCGGCTCCGGGCTCGGCTCGGCTCGGCTCCGGGCTCGGCTCGGCTCGGCTCCGGGCTCGGCTCGGCTCGGCTCGCGGCTCGGCTCGGCTCGGCTCGGCTCGCGGCTCCGCTCAGCTCAGCTCGCGGCTTGGCTCGGCTCGGCTCGCGGCTCGGCTCGATCGGCTCGCGGCTCGGCTGGGCTTGGCTCGCCTCGCGGCTTGGCTCGGCTCGGTGTTAGGTCGGCGGGTGCCGGGTCGGTGGGTGCTAGGTCGGTGGGTGCTAGGTCGGCGGGTGTTAGGCCGGCTGGTGCTGGGTTGGTGGGTGGTGGTTACCACCGACCTAACACCCACCGACCTAGCACCCACCGACCTAGCACCCACCGACCTGGCACCCGCCGACCTAACACCCACCGACCTAGCAACCGCCGTCCTAACACCTGCCGACCTAACACCTGCCGACCTAAGGTGCCCAAGTCCGACCCGGCTGGGTGCAGTGTTAGGTCGGTGGTAACCACCACCCACCGACCCAGCACCCGCCGGCCTAACACCCGCCGACCTAGCACCCACCGACCTAGCACCCGCCAACGTAGCACCCGCCGACCTAGCACCCACCGACCCAGCACCCGCCGACCTAGCACCCACCGACATAGCACCCACCGACATAGCACCCACCGACTTAGCACCCACCGACCTAGCACCCACCGACTTAGCACCCACCGACCTAGCGCCCGCACCCGCGCTCCACCGGCATCCATACGTCGGTTTACGCAGCTTTCCAGAGCCCGAGGGGCCGCACAGCACGCAGTGTTAGCTCGCAGCGACACTCGCCGCAGGCCCTGCGGGTGCAGGGGGAGGCAGCACGCCCAGCCACCAGCTCATTTGGGGACGAGGCGGCGGCGGGTGCGCCGCCGCTTTTTAAAAGCGACTGCAATGGTGAGTCCCGCCCTCCGGTCGGCAGGCCTTAGGGGACTGCGTGATCTGTTGTCGCCCTGCCGTCGGGGGAGACGAGGTGCAGGAACCGTGAGAAGGGCCCGCCCGACTGCGCCGCGAGCGTAAAGGGTGTGCATGCCGCGAGAAGGGCATTGCGCTCGGGGCATAGAGGGGCATAGAGGGGCATAGAGGGGCATAGAGGCGTAGGTACCGCGAGAAGGGCATTGCACTGTGTCGTGTATTGGCGTGACCACCTGCCATGACCTGTATATTGCCGTGACCACCTGCCGAGGCCTTGTGTACTGATGTGTTCTTTTCTGGAAGCCACCGGACGTGCGGGACCTCCTGCTGGTTACCCCGGGCTGCCGACCGCCTCGGCAGCCAAAGCGGGCTGCACGCGTCGCGGCTCCCCCCGCTACGCTGCCCCCCTCCCCCTAGCGCCCCATTCTTCCCCTCACAGGCAATCCAGAGGAAGACATACGGCAGATGCGTGGGTTCAGTCCAGCTGGCACGGGCCTGACGACAGACCGCCGCGCAAGACAGCATGACGTCAGTGCGGCTCCCATGTCCCTACCTCTCACAACGGTACGGGAATCACTTTTCCAGCCACCATGATAACCTCAACAGCAGCCGGGCTCACGGAGCTGTACGACCCTCACGCGCCCACGTGGGACGGTGCCAACTGCTGCGTCGTCTCTGTGTGGTGGGGGATTCTCAGAGAAGTAACCCTCACCAACGCAGCGGCCTTGTTGCGGCCGGGGGTGCAGGACGAGGGGACCCTGCAGCTGCGGCCCGCCGCCTCTGGTGATGCAGCGCTGCAGCGAGCTAACCGGCCTTCGGAAATTTGGAGGTCCACGGGTCCCTGGCTTCGGGCGAGGAGATCACGGAGCAAGATCAGAGTAGGGGGCTGGGGATCTCATCACGCATTTACGGCCGAGGGGGCCTTCGCGGTTGTGGGCGCCGCTGACCAGCTGGCTATCAGCGTATCTACAGCCACAGCGGGGCTACGGCTCGGTCGAGGCCAGTTAGTGACGCTAATGCGTGTTCGTGGACCCACGGCTGTTGGTAATTAGAGGCCACGTGAACGTGCACCAGTAGAATCCGCATGCAGGAAGCGACCGATTCGAACTGGGTTGGGGGGTTGTTCGTGCACCTGCATGCGGTTGCCTGTCCGGCATAGTAGGCAGCGGCATGGCAGCACACCTGCGGGCGGCCCAGGCCGGCGCAGTGCACTGTTCTCCCCCATTTCCAGTTCACACCCCTCTTGGGGCGTGGGGATGGGTGCGTCGGAATTAAGGCTAGCGGAGGCTGTAGGGGACGGATTTGCAGGCGAGCTAGGTGACGTAGGAAGTCCTGACACCCTTGAATGGTTGAGAGTTTCGTTTAGGGCTGCAGTGCCATGGGTAACTGTGCGTGTAGCCGGCACACGTGCTTTTAAGTTGTTATAACTGGGTTACTTCGCGCCGTGCATCCAGGGCGGGCAGGCGAAACAAAACTAGGCGGACCCGGTTGGAATCCCCTGGCCGGATGCCTGTCCAGGCTCTCCCCACCCACCTGACCCGGCCGGTGCCGCTGATACTATCTGCTGGGTTGACTAAAGGCCTTTCTTTTCCGTCAACAAAGTGCAAGCGCGTTTCTCTAACGCTTTGCACCGAAGTTTTGACCTATATCGGGATATGCGTTCAAATTAGACTCCTGCATTGTTGTTTGCGGTGTTTAGGTGTGGTCAAGGGTTACACGCCTCCGCAGCTTCGGCAATGACACTGCGGTGCACTTGCACGTAACGGGTTTGGCTCCGTATACAAGCTCCCAGGACCTAGCCATGGCTGAAGTACGTGCTCCAGAAGATCTTCTTTGTGCGAACTTCGCTGTACACAGCGGCAGTAACAGAGCGATGGGACGGAATACAAGATGCTGTGGTGCGTGCAGAGAAGCAGCAATGGCGGTGGCAATGACGCTAGCTATGAGGGCGTACGACAGCTCCCAACGTGAAGCGTGTAGTGGCGCATATGGGCTTCCGTTTGCTTTCAGTGATTGTCCCTTGCACTACGTATTGTTGGCGGGCGGTTTTCTGTGTGCCGTTGAGCGTTCTGTTTTGGCCCTGTCTTTGGGGCGGTGTGTTCGTGGCTTCCGGTTTGGGTTGTCTTCTGCCCTACATGAGATTTGTCGAGGTTTGCTGGGGGGCCCTTTTTGGCTTCTACCCTCTTGTTTACCTCCTGTGGTTTCTTTTAGGGCTGTGTCTCCCATCTTGTTGGCCCGTTGTGGTGCTGTCTCTACGGTTTGTTCCGTTTCTTTTGCAATGTAGGGTTGGGTTCATCACCCGTGTTCCCTTTTAGGGCACCATTGTAACGGTCATTCATTCACTGCAGCGCCACCGCACCCAAGCCCCATGCCCGCAACCCAGGGACATGCGCCTCGCGAGACTCTCATAATGCGGCTCACAACACACAAGTAGCGCGCGCGCCTGTTTTTCAGTGCCCGCCGTACCCGCCGGGGCCAACAAGAGCAGTACCGCCACCACCGTGAATGCGCCCGTTGCCAGGCGGCAGGGAGAGCATGCAGTAGCCACCCCACCGGTCCCTGCACCCCCTGCCTCCCTCTCAGCCAGCGCACATTCCAGTCCTCCTAACCTTCCAGCTCGTCTGCAAACCGCACCACCCGCCTCCGCGCCCTCGAATCTCCCCCGCCTGCCCCAACCTCAACCCCCGCTGCCACCCCCGCTGCGGCCGCCGGCCCAACCCCCGCTGCTGCTGCCATCGCGATTGACCACATCACTCCAGCGTTGCTACCAGCCAGGGGAGACGCCGCCGCCACCGGTACCTCCGCCGCCGTCCCCCTTCGCGCTACCGCCGCTGCTGCTGCTTCGGGCACTGCACGCACTGCGACCACAGATGCGTCCCCCGCCCCTGCTCCGGGCCCCGCCTCGGCCTCGGAGGCAGCAGCACCAGCTGCTGGTCGGGTGGTTGCGGCTGATACAGCCGCTCCTGTCGCCACTGCCGCTGCTGCTGCCTCCCTCGTGTCACCGCCCCCAACGCCGCTACCGCAACCCGACCCAGTCGCCGTACCGCCCGCCAGGCCGCACCCACCGCTGCTGCTGCCGCAACTACCTCCTTTGCTGCCACCCGCGCTGCCTGGGATAGCAACGCCGCCTCCTCCTCCTCCTCCTGCCTTGAGCGGCACCTTCCTCAGCAGCAAGAACAGCTGGTTCCGCAGAGCCCGCCGGTCCACCTGCACAGCACCTCCCCCACCGCTACCTCCCCCGCCTCCGTCCTGCCCGTCCTCGTCCTCATCGTGCTGCTGCGGGCCGCGCTGCTGCCTGCTGCCACCTTCACCCCCTCCGGGCGAGGCAGGGGGGCCACCCCCACCCCCGCCCCCCACCGCCAGCGCCGCCCTGTCCAGCCTCATCAGCGCCTCCTCCGCACTGCCGCGCATCACCAGCGTCTCCACCACCACCCGCCCGCGGGCACCCATGCGGTGGGCGCGACTCACAACCTGCGGGAGGGGGGCGGAGGGAGGGGGCGGAGGGAGCCCGGCTGTAGGATGGTTCGGACTTGCAGCCTGTGGTCCTGCACTGCCCCACATGCACAACACCATGCTAGGCGTGCAGGCGCCTCCCCACCACCTGCTGCTCCAGCACCCCTCTCTCCCCTCCCTCCCCCCCACCTGCTGCTCCAGCGCGGTGTCCTCCAGCGGCTCCATGAGGAACACGTGGCTGGCGAACGACAGGTCCAGACCCACGGAGCCGATCTAGGGAGGGGGGGGGGAAGGGGGGAAGGGAGTCAGTGCGGAGGCCCTATCTAGTCGCGGTGGCAAGGTTGGTGCTCCGGTAGGGGGTGCGGGTGCAGCCGTGAGAGGGAGGGGTGCAAGAAGGCGGCTGGTAAGGGGGCGCGTGAGGTCTGGACAGGGGGTGGGCAACAGCATACGCAGGTAATTTATACGTAGCACGCAAGCACCGACCCCCGGGTCGACCCCCCCCGCCCCTCCCGGCTGATCTCCCTCCCCCCCCGCCCACCTGGTCCATGAGCAGCACTCCGCAGTGGGGGTCGTGTTGGAATCGGGACAGCGCCGCGGCCCGCTCCTCGGGCTTGAGGCCTGTGGAGGGCGGGATGGGGAGGGGGGGTGCGAGGGAGGGAAACCCCGGATCGTGAAGGCCCTTTCCACTGCTCCTGAAGGTCCAACAACACGGACGTCCCTTCCATCCCCTTCCTATCTCCCCGCAAATTCACGCAGCCCCTCCCCCCTTCCCCCCTCCCCTCCTGCTACTCACTCCTTGCTAGCAGCGCGAAGGGCACCCCCGCCCCCATCAGCCCCGCCTCCAGCAGCTGCAGGTGCAGCCCGAACTGGCTGAACACAATCACCTTGGACCGCACCGGAAGCCGCCGCTGGGACGCGGACAACCCGCCACTGCTGACCCCGCTGCTGCTGCTGCTGGGGGGAAGGTCGCCACTCGCTGCTGCTACTCCGCCTGCTCCTCCACCGCCATGCTGCCCCCTCGCAGCCGCCCCCTCCTCATCTCCACCGCCCCCTCCTGCCTCCCTGCCGCCCCTTCCCCCTCCCCCCGGCAGCGCCCCCAGCTCCCCCAGCCGGGCCAGCAGGTGCGTCAGCTTGGAGGAGCGAGTGAGCTGCCAGGAGGGGGACCAGGTGCCGCCATCCAGACCTGCAGGGGGGGAAGGGGGGGGGAGGAGAACAGGGCGTCATGCGTGCGGGGAGGCGGTATGGGGCTTGCTCCTCCAGTTGTTGTGATATCGGTACGCCCCCTTCATCCTCCTCTCCCCTCCTTCCCTCCTCCCCTCACCCCCCCCCCTCATGTATATATTTTACCCTCACCCTGCGCCCCCCGCTGGTGGTACACGGGCTGCCACTCGATCAGCTCCCGCGGCACTGCCCACTTGGGCTGCCGGTTGTGGCGCAGGCGACCGGGGTCGGAGACAGACTGGGGGGGGGAGGGGGGAAATGGGGGGGGGGAGGGTCGTTTCGAGGGGAGGGGTGACGGGTACGGTTGGCAGGGAGGTGGCGGGCGGGCGAAAGCACGCGTGTTTGTATGCTGCGAGCCGACCTGCATCCGCCGACCTGTCTGTGCATGGAGACAAGTCACCCCGCACTGCCTCACTGCTGTCCTGACACCGGGCAAAACCCCCACAAACGCACAGCGCAGCAGCAGCACGGGGACACGTCGTGCGGATGTATACAACAATGCACTCACACCCATACACACACGCACCTGCATGACGTACGGCGTACGGCAGGTGGGCAGCGGGCAGCGCTCCCTGTCAGTTGCCGTACAGTCGAGGCAGGCGAGGTGGCCGCAGGGGGTCACCATGGGCTGACGTATGGTCTCACCGCACACCTGCGGGGGGAGGGAGGGGGTATAGTTGTGGTAGCGAGGAAGGTCACTTAGTCACTTTCAAGCGTGGCAAGGGAGAGGTACATTGGTGACAAGATACCTGCACACCAGCTTCCCAGTGGCAACATCAGGAGCCAACATGCACCAGCGCCCCAAACACATCCCACCACCCCTGGAGCAACGCCCATCCCCGCACCCCGCCCCACCTGGCACGCGCTTCCCTGCCTCAGCGCCCCCTCCACCCCCTCCAGCGGGTGCCCCCCCTCCAGCCAGGGCGGCCCCACCGCCTCGCCCCCCGGCAGCTGCCAGCCGGGGGGCGGGTGCCCCAGCCGCCCCGCTAGCAGCTGCAGCGTCTCCAGCAGGTCCGACTCCTTCACCTCGCTGCGGGTGGAGCCTTTGGGGGGGGGAGGGGAAGGAGAGGGGAAGAGGGTTTGGCACGTGCGGGTTTGACACGTGCACACACTGCCCCCAGAGAGGCTCCCAAAACTCCTTCACAGCGCACCTCCTACGCCGCACTGCTGCCTGCCCTCGCAGCCCCCACCATGAGGGCACACCATGAGCCCCACGTGCAACCCGCAGCCCAGCACCCCCCTCCCCTTCCCCTCCCGCCCCCAGTAGCAGCATGGTCCTCTCTGCCCCCTCCCCCCTTCTCCCCCCCCCCACCTGCCACGCAGCACGACAGCCACACGTTGGTCATCATCTGCCGGCTCCACCGGCTGTTGCGAGTGTTGAGCAGGCTCTCACTGTGCGCCTCGTCGCACCAATCCGATGTCAGCAGGTTGCGCCGTACGACCTGCATGTACGAATACACACACGCGTGCATGATTGTACGACAAAGTAGAGGTGGACGTGTAGGAGGAGGATGGTGAGATTGGCTGACGCGAAAGGAAGGGGAAGGTGGTAGGGTATACTATGTAGTTCCAAGCACTGCGCGCGTGCGCAAACAGCTGCACAACCCCTTTTCCACACCATCCCCCCCTCCCCCTTCACGCCCCCTGCCGTACCTCCACTAGTTCGTTGTACGACAGTGCGTGTTGCGGTTCGAAGTCCAGCAGCGTGACGCGGCGCACCAGTCCGGGCAGCAGCACCAGGTCGGCCTTGGAGGCGCTGCAGGCGGGGAAGGGGAGGAGAGGGACGGGGGAGGGGCGGCAGGGCAGGGCATGCGAGCAGAGGTTTGCCGCAAGCAGACCCTAATGCCCGGACTTCCGAAGCCCTTACACGCACCCCCCTCCCGTGCCCATATCATACACATGCCGTAAACCTTCCCCCCCCCCCAAACCCCCACTCACCGTATCATGCATTTCGTCAGCAGCTCCATGAGCCGCCTCCTGCCCTCGGGTCGGCACTCCTCCAGGGGCCGCTGTACGACAGCCCTCCATGTGCCCGAGTGAGTTCCGTACGGCGAGTGGTGCAGGAAGGCGAGCAGGGGCTGCAGGTGGGCGGCGCTGCTGCCGGTGGTGGCGGGGGTGGGGGTGCCTGGGGGGGTGCGGGGGGGGGTTTGGGAGGGGCGGGGTCACAGGCGTGGAGGAGACGCCCTAGCTCAGTGTACCCCGCAGCGCAGCTAACGGAAGCAGGCTGAACACCGTGGCCCCTCTCCCATCCCGCACCTCCCTCCCCCACATGCTCGCTCTCATGACCCCCGACATCGTAACACCAGTCACGCTTTCCGGACAGCAACGCACTACCGGTACCCAACCGCCCCCACCCACCCCTCCCCCCACCTCCCCTTCCCCCCCGCCTCCCCTCCCCGCCCCTCACCCGTCATCACCCAGCGCCGCTCCGCCCTCAGCCGGCACGCCACCTGCCGGGGAAGGGAGAGGGGGCGCAACGGTAGGCAACTTACAAACCAACTAGCAAATCAAAAACCGTGGCAAAACACTCGTGGGGCAGCTGCCCCTCATGGTGACGGGGCGGGGAGGGTAAGGGCCCGGGGGATGTGCCCCCCACCTGCAGCTAGTTGTTTCCTCTACCCCCCCCCCCACCTGCAGCCGGGTGGTGACGGCGGTGGAGGCGCCCAGTAGGTGCCCCTCGTCAAGCAGCAGCCGCAACCAGTGGATCTGGAGCAAGAAGGGGGGAGAAGAGGGGAGGGAAGGAGGGTCAACAACCGGAGGGAGGAGGCGGTAATTGGTATTCTGACAACGGAGCAGCGTCCAGCCTCTCCCACCTGCATGCAGCCTCACCCCCCACCCCACCCCACCGCACCCCACCTGCAGCAGTGCTTGCGTCAGTGGACTGGCACACTCCCCGCTGCTGCCCCCGGCGCCCTGGCTCAGGCGGTTGAAGGTGGTTATGACGATGTCGTACTCCCACGCCAGCTCCGCCGGGGTCGGGGTGACCCGTGGGTCGAGGCGGTCCAACACGCATACCCGCAGCGTGTTGGGAGCCACATGCGCCTGCGGGAGGTACACGTACCCAGCGGCGGGGAGGGGGCAGGCAGTGGGGAGGGCAGCCAGTTCATGACTCCTGCCACCCGACTGCCTGTCTGGCTGGGCCCATCCAGTGCCTCTCCCCACTCAGCACCCTCAGCACCACCAACCACCCACCAGCACTACCGCACTACGCCTCTCCTCCACCTACAGCCGCTCCCTCCTCCCCCCTGACCTCCCTCCCCCCCCCCACCCCTTCCGCCTCCCTCCCCCACCCGTATCTGCATCAGCCAGTGGTCAATGATGGTCGCCGGCAGCACCACCAGCGTCGCGGCGGACAGGTAGGTGCGCGGCGGGAGAGCCAGCAGCCGGGCTGGGCAGCAGCTGGAGGGGTGCGGCAGGGAGGGCAGCAGCGGGGAGGCAGAGGCGGAGGGGGCGGCAGGGGTGCTGCTGCTCCTGTTGCTGCGGCGGCGGGCGCCACCAGGGGAGCGCAGGGCCCCCCCGGGGCCTCCGCCCCCTCCTCCGCGGCCGGCGGGGGAGAGCGAGGCGAGGGCGAGGGCCAGCGCCTGCAATTGGTATGGAATAGGAACAGGAGGTGAACAAGAAGGAGAAGCGGTACGGTACGGGGGGAGTCTGGAAGGGTAAGGGCTGTGTGTGTGTGTTTCACCTGGTGTCGTACCACCTCCAATCCCCCCCACCCCCCTCTCCCCACCTGAAGGTCCAGCCGCAGCCTCCACATGTACGGAGCCGCCCGCCACGTGTGCCTCAGCAGCGCAGGTGGGGATGATGATGGCGGTGATGATGGCGACGATGACTGCGCACCCCTGCCGCCGCCACCACCTCTCCCTCCTCCCCCTCCTCGACCACCACCCGGACTGCGCCCGCCGCGTCCCCTCCCCTTCCCACCCGCGCCGCCGCCCCTGCCGTCACCCGCTTCCGACAAGGGCCGCAGCTCCAGCATCCTGAACAGCACACCATACCCGCCGCCTGCCGCGCTGCTACCAGCCGCGGCTGCCCTGCTACTGCTGCTGCTGCTGCTGCGGAGGTGAGGGGGCAGCAGGGCGCCCGACCCACGGGACGCTAGGGCCTCAGGATCCTGCTCGCATAGCCACCTGGCATGGAGGATGGGTGGGATGGAGACAAGCCCATGGGGTGAGAGAACATGCGAGTGGAAAACCTGAGAGCGCGACGCGGGAACAGCTTCCAGAAGCCGCGACCAATACTTGCTTAAATGGGTCGGATGTGTGTGCGGTAAGTATAGACCGAAAGAGACACAACAACCCTACGGCACTGCAAAGCAGTACGACAAGGCAACGACAAAGCACGGCAAGTACGGCAACCCACCGTACAGCCCGAAGTCCCTCCGCCAGGTCCCGCAGCCGCCCCGCCCCCTCCCGCAGCAGCCGGTCAAAGTAGGCGGCGTTCTCCGCACCACCCGGGGCCTCACCTGCACACATGCATGGGGGGGGGTGTACGACATCATACGGCAGTTGCAGCATGGAGGTACGGCAGGAGGTACGTGCCTGCAGGATGCACCCCCGCATCACCCCCGGAAACCCCCCGCCCGCTCACCCTGCCGCAGGTACCCCGGCGCGCACTCGAAGCTCACGTCCCGCCCGTACGCCTCCCGCGGCGCCGAGCAGGAGGCCAGGTGCGGCAGCGGGTGCATGTTGCAGAACCACGGGTCGCACTCCGACACCTGTGCGAGGCGGCGGTACGGCAGAATGGCACTCGCGGGTTGCTTGCGCGGTTGGGCAGCCAGGACGGCAGGCACACGCTTGCAGCCCACGGTGCCTTGGGCGGCAGCCCGGCAGGGAGCGGGCCATGCAACCCGGCAGCCCGCGCCCATGTCTTGGGTGGACCTACCCCCCTCACACCCCAGTGGCTGCTGCAACACGCACAACACGCACTCCGCAGTGTACGACAGGATTCAACACGTGTGCATGCGTATAGGCTGTAACTGTAAGACAGGACTCCTTACCTTGCTTCCTAGTGGCAGCTCCCGCCACGCCTGACACAGATCACACTGCACCCAGATCGCCTCCCCCTCCCCGTCTCCCTCGCCTCCCTCGTCTTCCTCCTCCTCTCCGTTTTCCTCATCGACGCAGCCGCCGCCCCGCCGGCCGCCGCCCCCGCTGCTGCCACAACGCCGCTTGCCCCTGCCGCGACTCCTGCCCCTGCCGCTACGGTTGCTGCCGCTGCCGCTCCGCCCTCCTCCACTGCTCGCACGCCGCTTGCGACCCCTCGGCTGCTCCCGCCAGTCATCATCCTCATCATCATGCCCATCGCCACCGCCGCCCTCCTCCTCCTCCTCCTCCTCCTCCTCCTGCTGCACCAGTGGCTGCCGCACCAGTCGCCGGCTCCTCAGCACGGAGGGCGACCTGCCGGTGCTCGCCGGCATGGCGGCACCCGTCTCCTCCTCCTCACTTTCTTCCTCCTCTGCCGCCAAAGCCGCATTGCGCGTCCGCTGCTGCTGCTGCCCCTCCTGCTGCTGAGCTCGCCCGGCAAACCCCGCCAGCACCCCACCCGCCACCACTGCCACCTCCGCCTGCCCCGCCACTCCGCCCTCACCCCCACTGCCACCGCAGCCGCTGCCCCAAACGCAGCCCTCGCCAACAGCCGGCGCCCCCCCAGCCGCTTCCTGCCCGAACCGCGCTCGCTTGCGCGGCTGCTGCTGCTGTCCTGAGGGGGACTGGGGACAGCCTGTGGTGGTGGTGGTGGTGGTGGTGGAGGCCGGCGGAGCAGCGCCCGACAGCGGTTGGGGTGATGGCGGCGTGCGGGGCAGCGGTGGGGGTGGCAGCGGTGCGGCAGGAGGAGGAGGAGGTGGCTTCACGTCACACGGTACCGGCGAGCGAGGTGAGGCAGGAAGCGGCGGCTGCTGCTGGAGACATCCAGGAGACCCTGAAGCAGCAGCCGCGGCAGCAGCAGCAGGAGTGGGTGCATGGCCGGCGCCGCTCGCTCCTGCCTCCCCCCCCTCCCAGCCGCCACCGCCGCCAGCACCCCTACCCGCCAGGCCGCCCTCTCCCGCCTCCGCTCCGCCAGAGCCGCTCTCGCCGTTGCTGCTGCCGTTGCTGCTGCTGCTGCCTCCGGCTGCACATCCCCCGTCACCGGGCACTCCCCCTCCCCCTCCCACCTCCTCCACCTCCGCCTCCCCTGCTGCGTCCAGCGTGTAGCAGCCCGCCCGCTGCCCCGCCCGGTTGCGCCCCCACTCCGGCCGGGCGCCGCGGGGCGGGGCGGGCAGCTGGCCCAGCGTCTTCAGGATGAGCGACAGGGCGGTGACGGTCTTGCCCAGGCCCTGGAGGAGCAGGAGGGGGAGGGGGGGAGGAGAGGGAGGAAGCAGGGGGGGGTGGAGGGGGGAGGGAGGAACCAGGGGGGAGGGGGCAGGGAGGCGGCGTGCACTTAACAGCATGTACAGAATGCTTGTTGGGCGGGTGGTAGGGGCAGAAGGGCGATCGTGCGGCACGGGTGGACACGTAAGAAGCCATCTTGAAGCTTTCGTCTTGAAGGCACACACTCGGAATCACCGAGTGCCCCCCCTCCTCCCCTCACTGCATCAGTCGGGATATGGGATTGGGACTCGTTGTTTCACTTTTTTAATTTTTTTCCTCCTCCCCTCCCCCTCCCCGGCTCACCGGCTCATCGCAGAAGAAGCCCCCCCGCACCTCCCGCCCCCCCGGCGGTGCCTCCCCCCGCAGCTCCCCGCTGCCCACATCCGCCCACAGCACCCGCCCGCTGCTGGCACCGCTGACCAGCCGCAGGAAGGCGGGGTGGTGCGGGGCCGGCTGCGGTGACCCGTGGGTCGGTGGTCGCCATCCCCCACCCGGCCTCTCCCGTGAGAGCATCCAGTTGATGGCGGCCCGCTGCGAGCGGTTGGGGGCATGGGGGGGAGGGGGACCGGAGGTGTCGGTTGGGGGTTTGCTGTTCACAGTCGGCAGTGCAGTGGGCACCGACGCCCCTACAGGTCCTACCTCGCTACGAGCGCCTCGTCCCTGCAGATGTCCATCCCTCTCCCCACTGCCCTCTGCCTCCCCCTCCAAGTCCTGTACCTTCCCGTCATCTCCCGCCCCTTCCACCCCGCTAACGCAGACACAATTCCCCCCGCCGCTCCCCCCCTCCCCCGCTGCCTCCCCCCACACCCCACCGTAACGCGGCCAGTTATTATAAACACACCCCACCTCACCTGGTGTGGGTACAGCGTCAGCCTCAGCCCCGGCACCGCGCCCGCCCCCCCGCCCGCCTCCGCCAGCCCCCGGCACACGCCCCTCAGCCGCGCCAGGTCCAGGGGGGCCAGCCGCGACATGAGGGCCAGCAGCACGTCGGAGGGCAGGGAGAGGAGGGGGTTGGGGGCGGGGGAGGGAGGAGGGGGCGGAGGGGGAAGGGCAGCCGGGGGCGCATTGACCGCCGCCGCGTCGTGCTCCCGCTTGATGGCTTGACGCCGTTTGTGCGGCGAGGAGGAGCAGGGGGGAGGGAGGGGGGGAGAGGACGGAGCCTGCTGCTGGGTGCCGAAGAGCGCCTCTGGCTCGTCCTTCACAGCGGCATCAGCGCCGCTGCGGCACACCACATGAGGCGGGCCCAGGGGCGGCGGCAGGGGCGGCGCTGCAGGGCCCGCCCCGCTAGGAGCATGCAGCAGCGGCGGCAGGGTGTTTGGTGGGGGCGGCAGGCTGGGTGAGCGGGCGCAGGAGGGGGTAGCAGGTGGGGGAAGTGGTGTTGCCGAGAAAGGGACGGAGGCGGGGGGAAGTGGCCGCTCGAAGTGCCCCTGCTGTTGCTGCCCCGGTGAGGGAGGCTGTTGCTGCTGCCCTTGCTCCGACATGAGGAGGGGCTGAGCAGGGGGCGGGGCGAGGGCAGCTGCTGCTGGGGAGGCAGGAGGCGGGGGCAGCGGGGAGGAGGGCGGGGGAGGGGGCGGGGGGGCCTCCGAGGGCAGCGTGGCCAGCGCGCATGCGGTAGGGGGAGGGGGGGGAGGGGGAGGGAGGAGCAGCAGCAGCAGGAGGGCAGGGCACGGCGGCGGCAGGAGGAGCAGCGGTGGCGGCTGTGGGAGGTATGACAGCCGCTGCGTGTTGCTGCTGCTCCCTCCGCTGCTGCTGCTGCTGCTGCTGGGTGATGCTGGGCAGCTCCCGGAAGCACGAGATGAGGCTGCAGGAGGGGCAGGGGGTGGGGGACATAGTGGGGGGGGAGGAGGCAGGGAGGAGGAGGAGGGGGGAGAGCGAGGCCATGGTACGGGTGTGGGCGGGGGGCCCAGCGGCACGTACCGTGGAATGCACGGAGTGCGGGACGACGGGTGGGTGGATGGCGACATACCCAATAAAGCACGTGTGTCTGTGCACATGGGCCCGCCCCCAACATGCCCTCTTACCTGCATCCGCCCACCACACAAGCCCTCTCCCCCCCATCTCCCCCTCCCACCTGTACCGCTCCCTGTCGCCCCCCGCCGGCTGCTCCTCCAGCAGGTCCGCGGCCGCCTCCGCCACCAGAGCTGCAAGGCGGGGGCTGGGGTGATCTGGTGGGAGGGGCATGTGTTGGGCCAGTGGAAGGGTTTGGCATGCAGGGCACTTGTGGGTGGGAGCGCCCCTTGACGCCGCGGCAGCCCCAAGAATACCCGCAAACTTTCAACCCCAACCGCAACCGTCAGTACGCTAGCCCGCATGACCTACACTCTCCATGCAAGATTAAAACCCACACCCCCCAACCCCCTCCCACCCACGGTTCCTTCCTTCCTCATCACCCCTCTCCCGCGCCCCTCCCCCTTACTCCTCACCCAGCGTCACCAGCGCCCCCAGCAGCAGCACCGCCGCCCTCCGCTCCCGCCGCCACCACCCCGCCAGCCGCCCGCTGTCGCAGCCCCCCCACACCTCCGCCGGCAGCGACAACACCAGCTGCAGCAGCGCCACACGAGGGGGCAGCGTGGCCAGCACGGCGGCCGGAGGGGCGGCACTGCAGTAGCCTGCAGCCGAGTGCGCAGCGGCACCTGCTTCATCATCCGCTTCCACAGCAGCCCCCGTCCCCGCTACTCCGCCTGACACCACCTCCCCGCTCTCCCCGGTGGCGGCTGCCGCCCCCGGCAGAAGACCTGCAGGGTCGCTGTGGGCGCCGCTGCGGCAGCACACCTGGGCGCAGCTGCTTGCAGGCGGGGGGCCGCCGGCTAGGACGGCAGCACCACAACCGCTGCTAGCACCACAACCACCGCAGCCGCAGCAGGTGTGCGGGGGGCCGACTGGGAGCAGGAAGGCAGCATCCCCCATACCCGCCGCATCCCCCACGGCGGTGGAGAGGGAGGGAGCGCTAGACTCGGGCGCATCAGACGCTATGAGGGTGGTGGCAGCGGCAGCTGGGCGGGCGGAGGTTCTGGGCTCCGGGGCTGGGACGACCAGCGGCCGAACTGTGACTGCCAGACGCTTAATTGCTTGCTGTTTGTGGGCAAAGGGTGTGTTTTGAGGACAAAGAGACATTGTGTTTATTACTGTCGCAAGCGACTGCTACGGCTTGCTATTTTGCTTTGGTTTCGGGCATGCTAGGGCTCGGCCAAATCCTCCCCCCGGTGTGAGGCCGAGACGCGCGAAACGGAGCCGGCCATGCGACGGTTGCCAATGCTATGCAAGCCGATAGATGCCAACAACGACCCCCTCGCAATTGCGCAATGTACTATATACCGTTCCTAACAGCATATCCCACCAGGCGTGCGACGGCTGTCAGAAGCTCAGCCGAACGGGTTCCATGTGGCTCGAGTTTGACCCTATCGCCGTTGACGTCGCCATTTCTGCAAACATCGGCCCAGACGGGTTCCTTGGGAAAACTATATACGGGGATAGTACTGAGGAATTTGGGGCGTGACCGAGGGTCCAGTCAACGACTTGCACTAGCGGCACATATCTATATATATGCCAACAACTCTGGTGGTCGATGATATCTATAAGGTACCCTCGAATCTTTGCTACCTTGCAGTCAACAATCGGTCCTGAAACAAGAAGTCATTTAGGCTCTTGCAGCCCGGAGGGGCAGAAACGAGTACATGAAGCAAGCCGATGTCCTCCATTGGCTCTCTCCGGACCACTAATTGGCGGCTACGAACGATACCGCCGCGTGTTTTCGGTACCGGTATGTCATAATCATAAAGACAGTGCCGCACAACTATTGAACGTGGGCGTGATCGTCACAGTAGCATAGTCGTATAGCATTATACGTATCTGAGGTTTAGAATGGATTACTCCGCTACGGGACCCCTCATCACCTGCCGGGCTGCCGGACAGGTATCGCCCATGCAATAAAGGCGGTGCACCGATACCCGCTTTCATACAGTTGAGCAATTGTTATATTATACACTTCACCAGAACGTTCTTTTGGACGCTAGCCTCCTCGCTTATACAGTTCCGAGCTCTCATCATCTTCGTCCTTACCTGTCGGCTGTCCATACCTAAAACCAATGGCTCGCAAGAAAGCCGGAAATAAGAAGAAGAAGAACGCCGCTGCTGCGTCGTCTTCCGCTAAACCCGTGGCGCCGTCCAGCATTCCCACACCTTCCGTTCCCGGCCTGGACCTCAATGTGGTGGCTCCTCTGGCCTTTTGGGAAGCCATGACTGATGAAGGTAAGCATAATCCTATCGCTACGTGTCATTAGATCGGCACATGGCGCGCAACGGGGCGGTTGCTTTCGCGGAAGATGTGCTACCCTCATAGAGCCCTGACAAATTGCGAGCTGTCCTTCCAAACCGTTTTGGCCGCGACGTATGCCATCACAGATTGTCCCGCCGATTTGGAGGTGGACTTCGAGGCGACACCGGCGCCTGCGTCCGCAACGGGCACAATTGTGAGCAACATTGTCTCATGCCCATAGCATGAGGCATGCCGAGTAGGGCGTTCTCTCATGAAGTCTTTCAAAAGCCGCGCTAGGCTTTGTGTGGACGGCGGCAGGACATGTAGTGCCAAAGCCCTAGTTTGCCCACTGCCATGCCACGCTATCCCTGAATGTCTCTCCACATACGTACCATACCTTAAAGAGTACAACTTGCCGTCTTACAGGCAGAGGCGGTCCCTAAAGCCTCCTCCCAACAATCTTCATCTGTCCAAATGCACGACCCAACCTCAAACCACACTTTCACAACCTGTCCCCCTTTCCATTGTGCGACCTGCAACTGTACTGCAGGCTGCCTCGGCGGTTGGCGACCTGCTCAAGTGGTTTGCCAAGGGCGTTGCTGCCGCGGGTGCCGAGGCAGCTCGGCTGGACTTTGCGGCCTCCCTCAGCAAGGAGCAGCGGGCCGAGGTGCACAGGTGGGTGGTGGCTGAGGCTGAGGGGTGGCTGAGGCAGGGCCGAGCAGCAGGTTGGGGCTTGCATGCGGTGGCCTGATGGGGGTGTCAGTCTACCCGCCGGTGTGCTCCCTCGATGGGTGTTGCAGACCTCGTCTCCATGTGGGTCGGTCGCTGCCATGCCACCTGGCAATGCAACCTCACTTCTGCTTCACTGCCTGCATCCCTCTTTTTGCTGCGTACACCCGACAGCTGGGTGGCGCTCCTCACTTGGCCTCATCTCTTCCCTGCCTCTACATCTTGCCTACCCGCTAAACCACGTGTTGTGAGGCCCCCTCTCCCTCTCCCCCCCTCACACAGCTCCATTGCCGCTGCGGGTCTGGCGGGGGTGCTGGAGAGCGCCAGCAGCGGGGTGGGCGAGCAGCGGCGCATCGCGGTGTACAGGAAGGGGGCCGCGCCCGCCAAGTGAGCAGTAGGGGGAGGGCAGGAGGGGCACACAGGCTGGGGTTGGCGCTGTTGGGTGGAGTGTGTGGCAGGTTTAGGGTGATGGTAGCGGTGATGGCTGCGCGGATGAGACACGCATACCGCTCATGCAGCCGCCAGGGCTGTTGGTACGCAGCTCTTCCTGTCAGAGCTCATGGCTAGGCCGCACTGCCGTGTTTGCTATTGCCACATGCAGGGCTGCCCTCCTCGTCCCTCACACATGCCCTGCCGCCCACCCTCCCCCCTCATGCAGGCCGACTGCGGCTCCCGAGGTGTTGGAGCAGGCAGCCACCCTGTACAAGTGGGCCCGGGACGCAGGTGGGGCGGGGTGGGGGGGGGGGGTGTGCAGCAGCGCGGAGAGGGGCCGGGGTGGGGGTGGGACGTTTCCAGGAAGCCATGGAGGGACGGTGAAGGGTGCCTTGGGTTTGCCCCGGCATTTGCATCGCGGGCAACTGCTTCCACCAACCTCCACAACCCTCTCAATCCATCCACAACCAATATGCTTGCAGGTCTGATGTCGTTCAGTCGCGACGAGATTGCGGAGCAGCTGGCGGCGGCGCCTGACGGTGCTGCGCTGGCGGCCCCCCTCGCGGCGATCTGGGCGGCTCGAAGCGCCGAGCAGGTGTGTGGGGGGAGGGGAGCGGGAGGGGGGAGGTGTGCTTCTGTGGTGGTGGTAGAGTGTCTGGCGGGGCGGGGCAGAGCTCGCGCTTGTTGCGCACCTCGCCTTGTAGGCGTTGTCGCCTCGCATGGCTTGTCGGTTGGTGTGTGCGGGTTGTGACAGTCTGCTGCCGGCACCGTTGCAGGTGGACGTTGCCGTGATGGCGAGGGCGGTGGAGCTGGACGACGTGGTGATGGTCGGTATGCTGCTGCAAGCCAAGCCAGGTGGGCGGGGAAGGGAATGGTGGTGACAGAAGGCAGGAGACGGGGTCGACCTGTTGCACAAGACACCACGGGACTGTGTGCTTGGATGTTGACGCTCGGTTAGCTGGTTTTTCCGGGCGCTCTGTCCTGACGTTTTACCCCTGTTGTTGTGACACCCCCGAACGCACCCCGCGCACCCTCAGAGTTGGCTCGCGCGGTTGACGGCTCCACGGGTCAGCCGCCCCTGCACGCGGCCGCCCGGCTGGGGTCGGTGGGGGCGCTGCGGGCGCTGGTGGCGGCGGGGGCGGGGCTGGAGGACAAGGACGCGCACGGGCGCACGGCGCTGCAGGTGGGCGGGGGGGGGCTGGGCGGGCAGGGGTGATGTGGGTCAGCCGTGAGTTGGGTAGGGGAGCCGTGGGGGGGCTGGCGGGGTGAAGGAAGAGTGGCGCTGCAAATCTAGGTATGGGGCAGTATGGCGACTTGGACCCAGCTCTACCCTGACGACCCGGGATCTTGGTGCATGTTTTTTGGTTTAGGCGCTTGTCCTGTCGAGGCCGTATGAAGGTAATCCAGCCCTAGGGTTCTACCGCAGTTGCATGAAGCCCCCCCCCCGCCCCCCCTCTGGTGTCCCCCCTCCAGATCTCCCGCACCTTTGAGCAGTGCGATGCGGAGGCGGCGCTGCTGCAGCTGGGCGCCCACGACCCGGAGGCGGGCAGGTTCCCGCTGAACAGGGCGGCAGCGGAGCTGGCAGCGGGAGCCAGGCAGCACCAGCACCCCCATGCAAGCGGCCCAGCTGCTGCTGCTGCAGAGGCGGTGACGGCGCCGTTGAAGCCGGCGGAGGTGGAGGAGAAGGCAGCCGGAGAGGAGGAGCAGGACAGGGCAGCGGAGCCGGAGGAGGCCGGAGTCACCGCGGTTGTCACCGCTGGCACCGCAGCAGCTGTAGATGCTGGGGCAGTGAAGGAGGATGCGGAGGTCGAGCCCAAGCCAGCAGCGGAGGAGGCGGCGCCTGCAGAGGCGGCGGCGGCGGCGGAGGCTGCGCCTGTAGAGGCGGCGGCGGCAGAGGTGGCTAAGCCTGCAGAGGCGGCGGCGGCGGAGGCTGCGCCTGTAGAGGCGGCGACGGCTGCGCCTGTAGAGGCAGCGGAGGCAGAGGAGGCTGCGCCTGCAGAGGCGGCGGCGGCGGAGGAGGCTAAGCCTGCAGAAGCGGCGGCGGAGGCGGCGCCTGTAGAGGCGGCGGAGGCGGAGGCGGCGCCTGCAGAGGCAGCGGAGGCGGAGGCGGCGCCTGCAGAGGCAGCGGAGGCGGCGCCTGTAGAGGCGGCGGCGGCGGAGGAGGCGGCGCCTGCAGAGGCGGCGGCGGCGGAGGAGGCTGCGCCTGCAGAGGCGGCGGAGGCGGAGGCTGCGCCTGCAGAAGCGACGCCTGCAGAGGCGGCGGCGGCGGAGGAGGCGGCGGCGCCTGCAGAGGCGGCGGCGGCGGAGGAGGCTGCGCCTGCAGAGGCGGCGGAGGCGGAGGCTGCGCCTGCAGAGGCGGCGGCGGCGGAGGAGGCTGCGCCTGCAGAGGCGGCGGAGGCGGAGGCTGCGCCTGCAGAAGCGACGCCTGTAGAGGCGGCGACGGAGGAGGAGGCGACGGCGCCTGCAGAGGCGGCGGCGGCGGAGGAGGCTGCGCCGGCAGAGGCGGCGGAGGCGGAGGAGGCTGCGCCTGCAGAGGCGGCGGAGGCGGAGGAGGCTGCGCCTGCAGAGGCAGCAGAACCTGGCCCTGTGACAAGTGCGACGGCGGCCGAGCAGGCACCTGAGGTGAAGCCTGGTGCGGCGGAGGAGCTTCAGCCGGTGGAGGTGCAGGCTGCTGCTCAGCCCGAGGAGCCGGCAGGGGAGGCGGCGGCTGAGGCGGCCGAGTCCGAGCCGGCCGAGGCGGAGCAGCCAGTGGAGGCGGCAGAGGCGGGTGTTCCAAAGGAGGAGGAGCCTCCGGTGGAAGGAGCGGCGACGGAGGAGCTCAAGCCAGCGGCAGCGGAGGATGAGGAGGAGGCGCAGCAGCCCTCAGTCGCAGCTGTGGAGCCAGCGCCTGTTGTGGTGGAGGAGCAGTCTGTCATCGCCGCCGCAGGGGAGGAGCCCCAGGCGGTCGCAACCTCCTCCGCTGACAAGGAGGAGGAAGTGAAGGAGGAGGAGACGGCCTCTCCCGCTGTGGAAGACACGGTTTCGGCTGTTCTTGCTGAAACCGTTCCTGACGCAACCGCTGCTGAAGCCACCCCTGCTTCGCCGGAGCCGGCTGACGTCACTCCCGCTGCCACTACGAAGCCGGTGGGCGACGTGGGCAACATTGTCGTACACAGCCTCAAGTGCTTGGTGGCGGACGGCAAGTCGTGGGCCGCGCAGCACGCGGGTTTTGTGTTGTACACGGGCGCGACTGCCATTGCCGCGAGCTTCACCATGGCCCTGGTGTCCGCATTCCGCCGCAACTAGGAGGCTGGGTTAGGCTGATGGTTAGGATATTAGGTGACTGTTTTGATGTGGGTCGTCGTTGTTTACCTCCATAGTTCGCTTGTTTGCATGGTTATGCGATGTGTCTTTGGTTTTGCCTGTGTGATTTGGACCCAATATGACTATCCGTCGCTTAGTCTGAATGTGTATTCGGTTTGTCGCTTGGTTCCTTGATGGTTTGGGACTCGCGTGCGTCTCCGGCTGCTGTTGATGTGATGTGCTTCCGCGCGCGCCGGCACAAGCGCGGTTTCAACTTGTGGATAACATAGCTTATAGCCACATATAGCGAAAACGTGTTTAGGAGAAGATACCTTGCTTCTATGTATGTGCGTGTGCTCACACACGATTCAATAGGCGGTACAGGAGCAGGGCATTGCGACTTTGTCCTTGGTAGGTTCTTTGCGTGTACCTACAGGCTGTGGGTTCATGCTGGCCGCTTTGCTTGACGCTGTTATTTGGCGTACTTGCACGAGTGTCAGGAGGAGTGTCAGGAGGTCTTCCGGTTCATCGGCCCAGAGCGCATGCCGGCTACACAAGCGATGCATAACGGTGTTTGGGCTCGTCTGTATCAGGGAGTGTGTGCGGTGCTTGTGTCGTGGTTCGCTCAGGTGGTAGCGGTAGTGTTGTTCCGTTTCGGGTACCGCTCAGCGGGTTAATGCTCTGATGTTGTTTGCGGGGGTATGGCGTGTTTGTCCAACAGCATATAGGTACCCAAGTAGGAGGGCAGGAGGGACTGCGTGCGACCGAGCAGGCACACCCCAGTGCACGTGGGGCATGTTTGTTGCACGGATGAACGGCGATCAGACGGACGGACGACGTCCTCCGTTGCGTTTAGGCGAGAAGTTCCATTCCCACGGAGCACGTGGCTGGATAGCAGAGTTTAGGCGATCGGAGTATGTGGTGTATGCGACGGGCATTTACACTTAGCTATTGGCTTCTGTGTTGGGCTTAGGTGAAGGTGTTAGCGATGACGTACAGGCGTGTTGGGGCATGGATTAAGGTGCCGAGATAAGGAGATGCCGCTTGCAGCGGACCTCTTGCCAAGTTGTGTGGAGTCTTGTAGGTTTCCGATAAGGTCATACCGGTATGCTTAGGTGTCGTGTAGCAGTTAGCCTTAGTAGCTTGAGGGTGTGTATGATTCTGACAGCCACCGTCCAACTTCCCATCCCTGAAATCTTTTGTAACCATCCCTGCTAATGATTGTCACTTGAGTACAGGTCCATTGCGCCGTGCGCCTCTAAGGTTCAGGCACTCCGCTGATGGTACGGGTCATGCAGCCGGCGGCAGCATAATTGGGATTGGTGCGCCGGATACGCTCCCACGCCTCATGCAGATTTGAGCCTCCAACGCATCAATGACACGGCCATCTGGGGCGGCGCGCATGACTGTGTGGTTGCGGTTCGGGGTTTTAGGGTTTAGCAGGTGCCCTTGCTGCTTTAACTGGCACAAGGCCCTTGAACATCACGGGAAGCGGGAGGTAAGGCTGAGCCCTCAGAACCCTGATGGTTCTGAGGTTGCCACTACAATGCTGTGGTCTGTTGGCAAGGACAGGACATACGAGGTCAGTGACGGAGACCCAAGGGTGAAGTATTGCGAGGGATTGTGGATTTCGGGGTTTGCACAGCCTTGCTTTGCGACTTTGCACGGCTAACGGCTATTTCGTAGCCTTTGCTGCAACTGCCGCAACCACCGTACCGGTACCTTCCGTACGGCATCGGGAAGAGGGACCGTCTGAGGAAACTGGACTGTGTTGTTGCATTCCATAGTTATTAGGTGCTTACCTATCCTGGCCAGGTGCTATTCGTTTTACATAAGCTTCGTTAGCGCTGCTAAATGAATAGTTAAGGACACTCACCAACGGGCAAGCTGTATCTACGCAACCGCAGGATCCCCCAGCTTTCGCTCTTGGAGCGGGCTTCCCTATCTCTTCAGGAGCTTGAGCGGGGCGAAGATATTCTGCGGAGGGAAAGGTTGCCAATGGCTATAATTACAGTCATCGACAGGGACAAAGATGTTGAGGCAACAGAGCAAACCCTCTCGGCAACAAGGCCACGGCGAGGCCCTGTTGCACGCTTTTTGGGGTCTTCGCTCTTGTATGACAGCCTTGCCGCACTCGCGTGCCTTGTCCTTGCCTTGGCTTTGGAGAAGGCGAAGCCTAGGTCCGCATATGTTCTGAAGGAAACATTGTACTGGCACAGTTTTCCTCGAAAGGTGAGTGTAAGAGATAAGAGTTTACGTTTTTGGAGGTGACCATGTGCCGACAGGCCGCGCGACGCCAAAAGGCAAACCAAACTAGAAGATTTACCAATCTCTCCAAAGTATGCGTTGCTCTCTTCCTGCCCTGGAAGTATGTAAGCTGGCTGTTGCATTTTTCATCGTCCACCCTTTAACCAACCATGTGCACTTTGCCCCCACACCGTCACCAACCCCACAGGACAACTCTGTTCCCAGCTGGAGCGTGCCCGTTTACGCGCTGCTCGGACCTCTGGCGCTCTTCATTGTCTACCACTTCTTGCGCCGGCGACCTTCGTGGCATCGTGAGTTGGCGCGGCTTGTGGCCGCGTTGTGCTTGGCCTTCTTCCTAACCGGCGCCATCACCAACTGCCTGAAGCTGCCCGTGGGCCGCCTCCGACCCAACTTCGTGCGCACCTGCTGGCCCAACGGCACCATGGTGTTTGACCATGAAGACCAGGTACGACACGATTGGACAAGGGCATGCCAGCATCGCTTCCCGGCTGTCTTTTTTTCGCGCAGCTCCCGCCACATCCCCTCCTGGCGACCATCTCAATGTGCATGCCGTGTGCCTCTGTTCCCCTGCTAGCATCTTCACTCTGACAGTCCTCCGGGCCCCGCCCCCTCCTCCCTCTCCTGCAGTGGGGCGGCTACGCGAGGTGCGACACCCACGTGAGCGAGGCCGACCGCGAGGAGATCCGCAAGAGCTGGCCCAGCGGTGAGCCCCGCGTCCCTTGCTGCGCACACTGGACAGCAGCAGTGGCTGATAAGGGTTCCTCATCCACCGTCTTTCCCAATGCCCAGCGGGTCCATTCCTTCCTCGTCACTCCTCGTTTATTACCCCAAGCAGCATTCCCCCCTCATCCTCCCCTCGTCCCCCCCTGCTCTCTCCGCCCTCAGGCCACAGCTCCCTCAGCGCCGCCGGCCTGGGCTTCACCACCTTTTACTTCCTGGGCCAGCTGCGGCCCTTCTCGCACTCCGCCTGCGCCGGGCGGCTGTGGCGCTTCCTGCTCCCGCTGCTGCCCAGCTTCGGAGCGGTGGCGGTGGCGGTGACACGCGTGCTCGACTACTGGCACTTCACCTCGGATGTGCTCACAGGTGGGCAGGGGTGCTGTGAGGGGGTGCTGCACAGCAAGTTGTGCAGGGATAGGGATGACTGCAGGGATAGGGATTGCATGGGAGGAACTGGCCAACCCTTAAGTACCCAGTTACCATTTCAACACACAGCACCTCAACCTCGTCACCGCCCATGCCTTGCATGCGCCGCAGGTCTGGCCATCGGCTTCCTGACGGCCTTCTTCGTGTACCGGCTGCTGTACCCGCCGCTGACGCACCCGCTCAGCCAGCTGCCCTGGGAGCTGTTGCAGGAGCGGGAGGGCGGCCGGGAGCGGCAGGGGGACGCGTGGCGCGAGGTGGAGTGTGACCAGGCGGTGGCGCCGCATATCCGATAGGGACAGGAGGGGAGGGGCGTGCAGGGCCGTGGATGGCGGCGAAGGAGAGGGCTGATAAACATCTCGTGAGCGGTGTTGCAGGAGTGGTGAAGGGCGGGAGATACAATTGGACCTTTGGAAGGGGCCTGCACGTTCCGCACGTTCTAGCAGGCTTGGTTCAGTTGATGTGCATGGTCGGGCGTTATGGGGCGGGATGGTAGCCAGGTGGGTGCCACCAGCGGCATAGAGTGCCAGGGGATAGCCGTGTTGCGCTGTTCGGCGAGCGGTGGAGTGAGCATGCAGGAGGGGATGCAGGAGGGGGTCTGCCGTGTGCGTGTGCCCGGGGTTTCGCACGGGTGGTGCCCCTGGGCAGGGGACACAGGGCGTCAGTCTCCGTTCGCTGTGATGTGCTGTGAGGTCCGCAGCCCTGCCGTGCGCCGCTTGGTTCACGCTGTGTGCTAACCTTGCTCGACGTAACCTGGTGCGGTTATAAAGAAACGAGCGATAGTGCTGTTTGCATGCCCCAATCTACCTGCTTTGCTGTTTGCGTCCACCAGATTTGGTTCATACTCGTGACGGAGGTAGGGGGTGCATTTCGCGCGCTATGTATGTAGCCCCAAGGCCCCAGCCCCCCTTGCTGCTGGGCTGCTGCGGGCGGTGTGGGCACGATGATGGCGTGGGCGAGCTGGAGGAGCGCTGTGGACGGACGGGCGCAGGCGTTTGGAACGCTGTGTGGGGGAGTATAGGACAAAGTTTCCATCCGTACATAGTAGTATGTTAAAATCCGTGTAATCCTCGAGCGCTAAAGAGGCCCAAGCCTGTTCAGTTGGGCCCCTTACCACTCCTCCGACGTCGCACAGGGAGGCCAGCCTGAGCCAGCAGTTCATCGCACATCATAACTCCAATCTGGACAAGCCAACACGACCGAGGTCCGACCCACGGGTCAAGTACACACGAGAATACAACCTGCTCTGAAGTGGGAGAAGTTCTTCCACGCATGCAACGGTAACTAAGCGTGTCTCACGGCAGCCGTACCTCAACTACTGAACCGGCGCATGCTGAGGCACCATGCCACCACCACCACAACAAACTCGACATCATGAGAACGCACGATGCATTCATTCGCTGATCATATCTGCTGCTCGATTGTTGGTAAGAAACAGAGCCACCCTCCCATACCCTGCTCCTGCCCTTAAAAGCTCCAGCGGAGGTCTTCTGGCGGAGCCTCGAGGCAAGCCCTGCACGACATGAGAACATGCAAGGGACGTCCTTACAGCCATGCAGCACCGCTTCAAGCGCAACGAGTCACAACACCACCCAGGTTACGCGTGCGCACACGTAACCAGGAAGTCAAGACTCCGGTACGCAGCAAAGTCCGAATACGCACCCAGCAATAGGCACGAGGACGGGACATGACCCAACCTGCCGTCTGCAAGTCCGTTAGGCTTGCCTGCGGTGTCCTTGCCTTACCCCTGGGGAACCCCAATGCAGCCATCAGACACCGCCCGCCCCACCGCCCACCTGAGCAGTATGTCCATGGCAGCGGACTCGGGCGGGGCAGCCGTGACGAGGGGCAGCGGATGGCACCGCAGGGGCTCAAGGGGGTGCAGCAATCCTGATGTCGTCCCTAGCCCCTCCTTCCTATGCGCCTGACGCGCGCTCGCTGGTCGGTACAATCATTCGTTCGAAGCAGTAGCTGATCGCGCGTTCATAGAATCGTCCATCCAAAGCTATATTCATGTTGGCGTTACGACGTCATTCGTTCGCCCTCACGCGCCTCCGGCTGCTTACCCTGTAGAGATGATCAGGCGAGCCCTCTCGACCTCTCTCCGCTCGTTCGTAGCAGGTTTAGGTATAAAAACACCCACGGCGCCGTGCCCGATCCGAATCACGCAGCTCTCCAAATGCGACTCCTAGACCCACCTCGATTGCCCGATTTGACGCATTTCTGGAATGCGGTGCTGGCCGTGCATACTGCAATCCACACGCAAGCAGAGCCGCCGAGTGTGGAACCCAACACACACACACTGCAGTACGATGGATGGGAGCGCTCCGGTGCCTGCATGCGGCTGCTGGCCATGGCTTTCACCGCAGTGGCCCATGGGTCAGCACCGCAGCGTGCAGCTCACTGCCGGCACCCCCACCCGCAGCCGCCGCTGCGACGCTGGAGGTTGCGGCTGCTGCAGCCGCCGCCGCTGACGAGGCGACCGGGAAGGCCTGCTGCGGGTCCTGCCACAGGATCTGCGACTGCACGGCGAGTGGCGGCAGCTGCTGCGCGTGCAGCGCCTTGAGGGGCGGCAGGGTGAGCAGTCCCCGCACTCGGAACTGCTGCGGCTGGGTGGTGAAGTCGATCTGGGTGTCGTCGTCCGCATCCCTGAGGGCCCGCGTCAAGTGTGGGTGTGTGTTGGGGGGAGGGAGGGGAGGGAGGGTGGGGGTGGGATTTAGGGAAGGGTGGGTGGGGTTGAGCGACTGCCGACAGGACGGCAGGCTGCACATATGGCCTGACGGCAAAAAACAAGGACGTCCTCCTTGGGGTGCCTTCAACACACAGTACAACATCAAGGGTCCCGCGCCCCCATAGACCGCTCTGGCATGTTTCCCTAGCAGCCCAGCCCCGCACCCTACCCTTCCTCCTCCTCCACCGCCGCCGCCTGCGCCGCCCTGGCCGCCTTGCTGATGTGCACGCTGTTCCCCAGCACCAGCGCCGCCAAGTGGTCCTCGTCCATCGCACCGCCAGACAGGAAGTCAACACCGCCGCCGCCCCCCGCAGCCACCAATCCTCCGCCGCCGCCAGCTGCTGCGGCTGCAGTGGCGGCGGTGCCGTACTGCGCCTGCAGCGCCAGCGCGAAGGGCGCTGCTGCCGCCCCGGTCGCCCCCGCCGCCCCCCCGGCAGGTCCCGCGGCGCCCAGCATGAGGCCGCCGTAGGGGCTCCAGCCGCCACCCAGTGTCACCAGCCCCCCGCCGCCCAACAGGCCCCCACCCGCCCTGCCTGCAGCCGTGGAGGGGGCGGTGGAGGCGGGCAGCAGCCGGCCCATCGCCAGCACCAGCCCACCTCCCGGCCCCCCTCCGGCCCCTCCGCCTCCCGCTGCTGCCCCCACCCCTCCCCCCGGCTCCACCCCGCCGCTGCCCCGCATGGCGCCCAGGCTGCTGAGCGAGGGCCCGGCCCGCAGCGCGGAGGAGCAGTCGTAGAGGGAGGCGAGGGGGTCGTCCAGTGCGGGTGGCAGGGGGGTGCGGGCGAGGGGGGAGGTGACGAAGGGGTGGCGCAGCAGCTCCTCCGCGGTGGGGCGGGCGGAGGGGTCGCGCTGGGGGGTGTGAGGCGGGATGTGAGGGGGAGGGAGGGGGTGTGAGGGGGGTGGAGGGGTGTGAGGAAGAAGCGTTGGTTGCAAGCTGCCGCACGTTGGTCAGGGCAGGGCGGCGGTGGCGGGATACATGCGCCCGGGTGGGCATGCAGCGCCCCCCCGCCCCCCTGCTGCTGCACTGCCGCCCGGACCGCCTCCCCGGCCCGAAGACACACACCTTACCCCTCCCACCCCGCACTCCTCCCCCCTCACGCACCGCCGCATGTGACCCCACTTCCCACCCCAGCTCCCGCTGCCACCCACCCACCCACCCCGCCCCCACCTGCAGGCACAGCAGTATGAACTCGGACGCCTGGGGCGAGAGGTGCTCCGGGATGGCTGGCAGGTCGGGCGAGGAGGCGATCTTGAAGATGGCCTGCACCTGGCTGGTGCACTGACTCCAGGGGGGCTTGCCTGGGGGGGAGAGGGGGGGAGGGGGAGGGGAAAGGGAGACAGAGAAGTAACTGTGTGACAAGGCGCTGAGCGGGGCGAGTACGGCAGGCGAGTAGGCAGGTGGCGTATCCCCTCCCCCACCAGGTGGGAGGAGGCAGGGGCCCTCAGTGGACGCGCCCTCCGCAGCTCTGCCGGTACGACAAGCAGCGGGCTGCTGGCCCGTGGGGTCGCAGGCAGCCCCCTGCCCCGCCCCAGCCACTGCGGCCTCCACATGAGCAGCCGCTGCCCCCGAGACAGCCGCAGGGGCTGCAACCGTCTGCTTCACCCCCGCTGTTCCCTCCCGCAGCCGCCCAAGCGCGAGGCCCTCCCTCTCCCTCCCTCAAGCCCCTCCCCTCACCCGTCGCCATCTCCAGCACCGTGCACCCCACCGACCAGATGTCCGCCTGCACCCCGTAGCCCTGCTGCTTGATCACCTCGGGCGCCATCCAGTAGGCGCTGCCCTTGAAGGAGCGGGTGAAGGACACCTGGCAGGGGGGGGGCAAGGGGGGGGCAGGAGGGGAGCTGTTGACCGGGTCCCTAGCCCCTAGGTAGCCAGCGTGCGCACCCCCGAGGGGGGCATCGGCAGGTGGGGGTTGGTTTCTCTTGCCCCTTCCCCCTCCCATGAGTCATGTATGAGTCGGGCTATGGGATTGGGATTCCAATGCTTCACCCTTCTTCTTCTCCTCCCTCCCCTCCTCCTCCTCTCCCCTCCCCCCCCACCTGTTCCATGAGCTGCTTGGCCATGCCAAAGTCCGCCAGCTTGAGCACCCCCGTCTTCTCGAGCAGCAGGTTGGCACCCTGGGGGGTGGGGGTGAAGGGGAGGGGAGGGGAGGGGAGGACAGGGGGGAGGCAAGGGATGAAAGGGGGCGAGAGGTGGTGGTACGGGCACTGCGCGGTACCCCCCGCATGCTTGCAAGGAGCGTACATGGCGCCGCACTTGCCACGTCCCTCCCCCCCTCCCCGCCCCCCGCCCCACCTTGACGTCCCGGTGCACGGTGCGCTGCGCGTGCAGGTAGGCCAGCCCCAGCAGCAGCTGCCGCGTGTACAGCGCAACAAGCGGCTCGGGCAGCGGGCCGAAGCGGGAGAGCTGCGAGGACAGCGAGCCGCCGGGGACGTACTCTGGGCGGGGGGGGGGAAGGGCGTGAGGCGGGGAAAAGGAGGGAGAAAGACGGAGGCGGGAGCTTGAAAGAGAGAAGAGGTGGCTAGTGGTGGTGGCATGGGAAGGCGGAAAGCAGTTTGCCTGGGTTCCCTCCTAGCCACCCACCAGCCCAAGGACCGAGTGGCAACCAGCCCGCGACCAGCACCGCGCTTCGCTCTCCACCCCTCACCCTGACCCTCCCCCCTCTCCGATCCACTCCAACCCACCCAGGAAGATGTACAGCGGCGGCCCCGTGCCTCCTCCTCCCGCCGCTGACGCATACCCCCCCGCCGCCGCCCCTCCTCCCCCGCTCCGCTGCGTGCCCACGTATCTCACGATGTTGGGGTGCCGCAGCGCACTCAGCAGCGCCACCTCGCGCTCCAGCTGGGCCACCGCCTCCACCGCACTGCTCCGCCCTGCACCGCCACCTCCCCCCGCACCGCCTGCTCCTCCTCCTCCCCCCGCCCCCCCGGCCCCCCCTGCGCCCGCCCCCAGTGCGAGGTCCGCCAGCCCCGCCGGCACCTCCTTCACCGCCAGCAGCTCCCCCGTCTCGCAGTTGAGCGCCAGGTACACCTGACCGAAGGAACCCGCGCCGATACCCTCGCCCTTGCGCCAGCGGACAGGCACCGTGGGACCCGGGTCGCGCAGCAGCGGGTACAGCAGGGAGGCGTCCGTCTGGGCGACCGCTTCGGAGCGCTGTACGACAGGAGGGGGGGGAGGGGGCAGGGGCGCGGGGGGCCGCCAGGCGGAGGCGCCACCTGCCCCGGCGGCTGCGGCGGCAGCTGCTGCTGCGGCCGCGGCAGCAGCTGCCGCCGCTGTTGCCCCTCCTGGAGCAACTGCAGCTGTGGCGGGGTTGGTGGAGGGATGTGGGCTGGCGGCAGCTACTGCTGCCGCGGCTGCGGCGTTAGCTGCGTTCGCCGCTGCAGCAGCGGCTGCTGCTCGAGCGGGTTGCGAGGGCAGGGCGGTGGTCGCGGCGGAGGGACCCAGCAGGGCCCCTGCAGCTGCTTCCCTTTCCGCTGCAGCTTCATTCGGAGCCGAGGATTGATTCGGGCGCTTGAATAGTCGCGATGCAAGGCCCCCGCCGCCCCCTCCTGCACCAGCACCTCCTCCATGGGGGACTGAGTCGGCTGCGTTGCCGCTGTCTTGATCTCCGAATGCCTGAACGGGCGTAATGGTCGGGGCATCATTTCGCCCGCCGCCTTCAGCGCTTCCAAGCAGCGACAGTTGATCCTTGTCGACCTTTGCCTGGACCTGCCATGCGGCTGCGGCAGTCCCGGCCTGCTTGGATTCTCCGGCTGATGGGACACCTCCAGGACCGCTAGCCCGGCTTCCGCAAATACCCATGGGCTATTACCCTAGAGCGAGTCAATGTCGAGCGAGCAGGGAACGCTCCTGCCCGCCCGATGGTCTCAAGTCAACATTCTCGTCGAGGTTCAACAAGTGCTACCATTGCTAGAGATTATTTGTTACGAAAATAGTTTAGGCCGGTATGTTGTCAGATGTGAGGGCAGGATCCTAACGTGCTAATAGGCTTGTCTTCGAAAACGGAAGGAAAGAAACTCAAACAACTCTCGAAAATGACCAAGGAACACAGTTTATTGTTGATAATGCTGTAAGCACTTTTTACCTTACAAAGAAGGATTAACGGATGGGTAAGGTAGGGTGAGCGTTTGTACGGCGTCAGATCGCGTAAAGCCCTTGGTGTATTGGTGCTTGGTCGCTTAGCCACGCACATGAAGCTACAGGTGCAAGGCTTGCAAGCGCGCTCATCGGTTGCTTGAGAACCCGTACTTGGCAAAAGTGCCGCATTGCAACACCAAGGGCACGGCCGACAAAGCCACAGTATTTGGGGGGGTCTATTAGATAAATGGGCTTAGCCGTGGATAGGCAACTGGGCAGCGCGGTGACACAAGCTACAGCTCAATCCCGTTTCAGGCCGCGTAAGGAATGCGTCCCACGCGGACAGGGTAATCCCTATCCATTCCACTTTATGCGATATATACTTACAGTATCTAACCTCTACAGGGACACGCGTAGTAGCTTCGGCGACACAGCCCCATCAGCAGCAACAGCAACGGCTCAAGGTGGTGCAGGAGAAGGCGTGCGGTTGCGGCGATGAAGGCGTTTCACGTCGCGGGCTGCTGGCTAGTTCTGCCGCTGCTGCTGCAGCTGGAGTCGTTCTTGCAGGTGCGGTGCTACAGCAGCAATACCGTTGTCTCTTTCCGGGTACAATAACGTGGCATTCAGTATAGCGGCAAGTATAGCCAAGCGGATGCGTGCCTGCTTTACTTTGCAAGGAGGCATCCCTCCCACACCTCCCCTTCTACCTTCTACCCTTCTGATTGCCCCCTCGGTTCCTGGCTAGGCTCCCTGGGCGTACCAGCGGCCCAGGCCTTTGGAACAGGAGATCCCCTAAACTACAAAAAGGTAAGTTAACTCGATTGTGGTACAGCTCATTGTACCTTTTCCTTTACCTCTTACCAGGATAGGAAAGCCCAGTCGCGCATCCCTCCAACAGCAACATGTGTACGACTCGCGACCGACCACTCGCAGGAGCTGGCGCGTCGCCGTCGGAAGATCCCAGAGGAGGAGTTCACGGAGGGACCCATGGGTCTCAAGTGGGTACCTGCGACCCATGAGACTGTGGGGCCCCAGGGGGGTGCTTGTGAAGGAACAGCGGCATTGCTTTCGGGCCACATGGGGCCTATTGACACCAGTCCCGGTCAGTCCCGTGCACTCTCGGGATCTCTCATCGTCACATTGCGACATGCAGGGCAGGCTCCGTACGGATGCGCGCAGTAGCGTGCTGCCGCTCGTGATGCCGTCTGCCCCACCTCCCCTCTCCTCCCCGCATGTGCAGGGTGTACGACATCCAGGAGGGTGACGGGGCGGAGGCGCAGGTCGGGTCCAGGGTTGCCGTACACTACGACATCAAGTGGCGCAATATTACGTAAGTCAGGCCCATGCCAAATGCCAAATGCCCGGGCCACACCGAGATGCCCTTTCCCCCTTTCCCGTGGACTGGGTTTTCTTCTTCTCTCCCTCTACTCCGTCGGCCCCACTTCCCTATGCCCTACGCTCCTTTTCCCATACAATCCAACATCCTGGACAGTCCCGGACACTTCCCTCCCCTCCCTTCCCCTCCCCGTGTCTTGTGGCTCCCTGCCGCCGCCTATCCCCCTCGCCTTGCCCTAACTCGTGGTTTGGTGTTCTCCCCCCCCCTCCCCCACCTAGCTTCATGACCAGCCGGCAGGGCATGGGTGTGACCGGCGGCACCCCGCTGGGATTCGACGTGGGCACTCCGGCGGGGCAGACGGGCGGCACCCTGCCCGGGCTGGACTATGTGAGGAGACTGGGTTGGGGCGGGGGGGTGTAAGACTTTAGGGGGATTGGCCCTAGTTCAGTTCAAGGCCTCGCTCTGCTCCGCGAAAGCAGTGTTCCAACTTGTGCACGGCTGCCGGCGCTGCTGCCCTGCCTGCATCCTCGTGCCTGCTCCCCTCCTTCCTCTCCCGCCCCTGCCACGTGATGCCCCTCTCCCCCACCCCCGTGTCTCGTGACAGGGTGTCCGAGGCATGCGGGTGGGCGGTTTGCGGCGCGTGCTGGTGCCCCCGGAACTGGTACAGCAGGGGAGGGGAAAAAAAGAAATTCAGGGGAGGGGGGGAGCGGGGAAAAGAAGAATCCCCAATGCGTTGAAGGGGAGGGCTGCCTATCCTGTAGTACTGTCGAATAATGGCTGGTGCACACGGATAGGGTGGCATGCCGTGCAGCCTTGCCGCTTCTTTTCCTAGTTTGCTGGATGGAGACAACTGCAAGGTTGTGCCCGCACCTCTCCTAATCCACGTGTAGGGTTACGGCGACAAGCAGGTTGGTGAGATCCCGCCCGGCTCCACCCTCACGCTGGACATCGAGCTGCTGAGGTGAGGGCGGCTGCAGAAGGGCTGCCAGCTGGGGTGGCTGGGTGGCCTCTGGGTGGGCTTCGTAAACATCCCGTACGTTACCATTGACAGCTCGCATAACTGTCGTACTCGCTTCCTGGCCTGTGGGTACCAGTTGCCATTTAGAGCGGCTTGGGAAGCTGTGTCGCTGGTGTGAGTACGGCAAGGAGCCTTTCGGCTGCCGTACTGCTGGGTTTGCCTCACCGCACCGTACCCAAGCACCGTAACCCCTGACTGTCTCCTGCACCCCCGCCCACCGCAGCATCAAGACAAGCCCGCTGGGCTACCGCACCAAGTTGGTGGAGGGCTGAGCGCAGGAGCGTGGGGGGGCCCGCATGGGCGGCAATGGAGGTTGGGCTGCTGCTGCTGCAGCTCTCGTGTGCCATTGTCTAGTCCTGGTTCGTCCGCATTGCTTTCAGCGCTTTGAAGGATGGCGTTTAGGTGCGCAGCGAGCATGTGCTGCTCAGGAAGTGTGTGGGTGTGACGACGACGACCTAGTTACCGGCAGCACCGTTGGCGCCGGTGTGCCAGCAGGTGCCCGAACGAGAAGGAGGCAGCTGCAACATGGACCGGTATGCCCCTTTGCACGGGTTATGGGTGACGGTACAACCCGACCCTGAGTGGTGCGCTTATGCCTTCGACTATCGTACTGGGGATTTGTTGGTGAGCTGAATGCGGCTCTTGTAAGCAGTAATAACAGTAACTCCATTTCAAGTGCATTGCGACTCGTGTGGTCGGACTCCATTTTCCCTACCGTAGTTTTTTCCATGTTTTGCTGTCGTCCCTGTCTGCGCGGGCTTTCGGTGCAGCACTTACGGTAAAGCCAGGTTTCCGCACCGTTTCAGTATATGCAGACCTAGGTAAACAAACTGACAACCGCACAGCTTCAAGTGTTAAGGCCATTGCCATACGGTAGAGCTTTGGTGGTGGGTACCGGTACTACCGGTAAATAGTAACGGTTACATCGATTCGCTGTTCCGGGTCTTACCGGCACCTCCCCTGCCTGTCCCACCAAACGACTGTTAAGCAGAGGCAAACAAACACTTATACGACGCCACTCCACCCCGCAGACCACCGCCGGCATGCCAACTAACCAGCGTAAACCGCTGCCCAAAGTGCGATCTCAATCTCAGATGAGCTTACTTGAAAGGATAAACAGCAGACTCATGAATAACATTAAGGGCCAGCGAATAGCCCAGTTTGAATAGCCATCCTACAGCGAATTTATTTAGGCCCTTGAAGCAACTGCATTCCGATGGCAACAAAACACACCTTTAATGAAGAGAGAAACATTAAGCGCAACATTAAGGGATATCACCAATATTAATAGGATAAAGAAAAAAGGGCTTGCGTTCATTGCCTCTGCAACATGGAGATCAAGAAGTGCCACAACCATAGACGTACAAGGACAAATGAAAGCCTGCTTGCCTCCGATTCCACCGTGACATGGGGAACAGAAAACACGACTTGAGATAGAATCCTGCCATACGAGCAAGCCTCCTGGATAAGTTAAAAACAGTCCCCTCTACATGGGCGACCCACGGGCCGGTAACGCCCCCTTTTACGCACTGAGCGGAAGGTAAACGCACTCCTCCGGCTGGTCGCTTCAGCATGCTACCAGAGGAGGCCAAATCATCAAACCCCTTGGCAAAGTATCACATCAAGGGTGGTCCTGCAAGCTCCGTAGCTCTCCAGAGCCACCCTCCGAAGCCAGCCGGCCCGCAGCACCAAGGCTGTCTCGGCTCATGCGGCGCCAAGAATATGGCCTGCCGAAACCGCCAGAGGACTTGCTGCCTCCCAGTGCCGCCGCCTGACGCCGGTGCTGCTGCCACTGCAGCTGCTGCGAAGGCTCCACCCCTGGCGCAGCGAGGTAGCGGTGGCTGTCCCTGCCGCCCGCCTCCTTGTCGGCTGCTTCGCCGCACTCGCCCTCCTCGTCAATGCCGTCGCCGTCGCCACCGCGCGTGCCGATGCCGAACGTGAACAAGTCGTTGAGGGCGGTGCGCCAGCTGCCTAACAGGGCCACACCGCTAAGAGCAGAAGGCAACGATGGGGACGATGACAGCGTCGGCTGCAGCCCCTCGGTGTCCCCACTTGTCACCGCCGCTGTCCTCCCGCTGTCGTACTCGGGCTTGTGCGACAGCGCGGGCGGGGTTCCAGGCGAGGAGAGGAAGCGGCTGGGGGACATGGAAAACGACGAGAACGGGGAGCGCACCGACCCCGAGGGCGAGTAGGTGTCTGTTCGAGTGCCCGCAGAGGGGCAGCAGGCGGAGGAGGCTTCTGATGGGGCACGGGCCTCCATAAGGCTCCGGAGGTAACCCTGGGTGACGGAATCCTGGGGTTCTGCTGCCGAGACCCTATTGTCTTCCTTGGGTTTAGGTTCCCTGGGGTTGCTGCAAGGCTGCATACGGGCTGCTGCCTCAGGTGACGTGCTTGGAGGGCAGGCCTGCAGAAGCCGTGAGTCGTCGGGGCAGTGCTGCATGCAGGCAAAGGGTGTGCGGAAGCGCAGAGGCAAAGGGGTTGCAGCCCCCGTCGCCGACGGCGTAGGCGCCGGTGCTTTCTCTTCCCACGCGATGTCCTTCTTGCGGGGTGTGCCGTCGTAGCTGCTGCGGGCTGCAGGGACGGTGGTGCTGCCGTTGGGGCTGGCGCTGTCGGTCTGTGCGGCCAGCCACTGCGTGAGGGGCAGTGAGAGCTGCACGGGCAGCAGGCGGTCCAGCAGGGACCCCGGCTGCAGGACAGAGGTGGTGGCGGTGATGGTCGCTGTGGCAGCTGAAGGCGGGGAGGAGGATGTGGCGCCTCTGGGGGAACGTCCCGCGGGATCAGAGACGCGGCGGTGCCGGCGAGGCGAGGCCAAGCAGCTCTGCTGCTGCCCGTGTCCTTGTGCGTTGTGGTGTGTCTGGTCGAAGGAGGGCAGCTGAGAGCAGAGCTTCGCCATCTGCTCGCGGTACAGGGCGCGGGTCTCCAGAAGATCCGCAACCTCCGTCTGAAGAATCTCCATGGAGGCGTCGCGCGTGGCTGCGGTGCATTTGCAAGAGATAGAACGTTAGGTGAGAGAGTAGGGCTGAGAAAAGGAAGAACCGGAAAAGTAGCCAAGGGCCGGAAGGCAGCGTTGTTATCTCCAATTCCATACCCCAAGAATAGGTCATCATACTCTTATCACACACGCCAAAAGTTTGTTTACCGACACCCTGCGCATTGCGTCATTTGGCCTATCCTGGCCCCACACAGCCACCCTTACCAAGGAGTTCCTCTGCCTCAGCTAACTGGGCCCGTAACTGTTCATTGTCACGACGCAGCGATGCCACCAGCCTCAACGCCTGGCACAAGGCAGAACGCAGCGCCCGCTCGCCATGGGAGCGATCAGCAGGGGCGCCTATCATGTGGTTTCTGCGTTCCCAGAGTTGGCTGTGGGAGCCGCGCATAAACGACGATGACTCGCCACGGCCTAGAACGCCAGAGCCATCAGGGTCTTCTGCTGTCACCTTAAGCGGCTTGCGGCTCCTAAGGCAGCAGGGCGTGGGGCGGGAAGTAAGTAACATGGCGTTTCCAACATGCGTCCAAGGTGCGCCGACTTTTGGGTAAATCGGCAAGCCATCAGTTTTTTCAACGTTAATAACCCCAAAGTCAATGAGCATGTACTCTTCGAGGTTGATCGTTTGCTGGCCCTGGCACTGAAACAAAATCTTCATCGACAGCTGACAACGTGACATACTGTCCTGCTCACGCGCTGCAGAATACAGGTAAGCAATATCCGCTGCTCGGTCAGCATGTTAGCATGGAGTTTAATGTCCGCTTAGGAACGGCGGTCGACTCACATGATGCCGAACACCAGGTCCACGAGTTGCCTGTCAGCAAGACAGGCCGAAAGTAACCTCGTGGAGCGTAAGTCGTCGCTAGATGGATGCGCAGGTGCCTGCACCAAGGAAGAGAGGGGCCAAAACCGATTGGGAATGACGGCATAGTCGAAAGCCACGCCTTCTTTTTTAGGACCACGCTCAGCGCTGCCGCGTGAAAGACGTCGACAATAATTGTAGTGACCACAAACTCTTTCGGCCTCAAAACTGACTACGCTGCCTACGGTTGGCTGGAGGAATGTGACCGCCGTGTTCTAATAGGTAAGCCTGTCATCAAGTACAGGGTATCTGACCTGCCTTTGGGTAGCTGCAAGGTGTGATGAAGCCGCCAAAGCGAGGCACCTGAATTGCTGTTGCGCGATGGGTTGCGCAACGCTGCACCTCTTGCTCCAACGCAGCTACTCCCTATGCTTGGCTATGTGCAAAAGTTCTAGTTCATTCGTAAAACTGCCTAGTTCAACAAATAGCCTGCGTTTGGAATCGAGTCGACAGTACAGTTCCAAATCTTAACGGTTCTGTACGGCAGCAGTTTGTCCCGCGCTCAGTCGGACACGGTTTATGGCCACAAAGTTGCTGCTACTTACAAAACTAGGAACCAACCGCGTCCTCGCTTTAAAGTAATTTCAATTCGAACAGGGCGTCTCGTTGGAACAAGTTTCATGCAGGCAGCGTGACCATGCGTGCATCATGCAAGGCGTCGCGACAGGTCATGACCATCGGCGCGACGCGGTGCTTCGCTTCTTCGTTCGGTGGGCCCTCTCCACTTCTACTATTACATATGAGCGAAGTCCTCCTGCACAACACTTCACAAATTAGCACCCGGACAGCTTGTTTCCACGAGCCTTCCTATTGGCTGCTTGCAGCGACCTTCGAAACCCAACAACATCAACGGAGAAGCGGCAACGAAACAACAAAAGCCTAACGGCTAAACCAGGCGTATGCAAAGACACGCGCAGGGAAACTGCTCGTTATCTCGCCTTGGTAACTGCAACGTCGCGTGCATAGAACACCCTCCATGCCTCCCCCGTCGCCCTGCTCCCTCTCACCATCGCAGCCCAGCGATGCAACCCGAGCACCCTGCCACATGCCGCAGAGGCCTAGCCCTAACCCGCCTAGCCCGCGGAATCCGGGGGCTTCTCCTCTGTGCCCACTTAACTCCTAATCGCTGCAGCGCTCATGTCATCCTGGCATCACGCCTCTCACCCATGCGTCACCACGCACCCTTGGCCCAGTCCACCTGCTCCCCCCCACCCCCCACCTGCTTCATACCCCCGCCCGCCACCTGCTCCCACCTCTCCTGCCATCCACCGCACCCCCCATGCACAGCTGGTTGAACACACGCGCTTATTAGCTCTGCCATACAATATGCATGAATGCATGCCGCCTACCCCACCTGCAAGCCCGCCTCCCGCCTCCCACACCCGATTGCGCACCCCCTGCAGGCAGGCTCGGGGTGCCACCCCCACACCCTGCCGCCCCCCCTACCACCACACGCCCTGCTCCTCCTCACACCATCATGGACCGGCCCAGCCCCAGCCCCATGCCTCCCATGCCGTACATAAGGCCTCCGCCGCCGCCCCCCATGTCGTACAGCCCGCGCTCTAGCCGGTCCTTCTTTGAACGCCCTCCGCCGCCGCCACCCGGGGGACCGGCCTGGGGGTTTGAGGGGGCGTGGGAGGGGGAAACGGAATTCCAATGTGTGGTGTGATGGTGGTACAATTAGTTGACAAGCCCTGGGAGGGGGGTGGTGAGGGGACTGAGGCGGTGCGCGGGGTTCACATGCGCATGCGCGGGTCGCACATCCCGCATGCCAGTACCGGCTGGTCCAGGCGGGGCGGAGGCCGGGAATGAAAGATGTGCAGATGTGGTACAGGAAAAGCAGGCAGGAGTATGCAGCAAAGCACCACTCCTCCCCATCTCCCCCTCCCCCTCGCCCCCTACCTGCATGAAGTCGTGCTTCACCAGGTTGGCCCGCAGCAGCAGCGCGCGCGTGTCCCGGCAAAACGCCTCCCCCACCGCCAGCACGCGGGAGAAGGTGCTGGCGCGCGCGTCGGACTGGCTGGCGTACAGCACCTGGGGGGTGGGGGTGGGGAGGGTGCAAGAGGGAAGCACAGCAGAGTCCGTTAGGGAAGCACAGGTCAGGTGGGTGGTGAGACATTAAAGCAGCACGCATCACGTGCATGGACCCACTGGCCGCTCGTGCCGTGATGCACCAACCCCTTCCCCGCCCCCACCCCTCAAACCCCGCCCTACCTTTGTTGCCGAGTCAATGCGCGCGGAGATCTGCCCCTCCATGATCAGCACCGCCAGCTGCTTCTCCAGGTCGCTGGGTGTGTGTGTGGGGGGGGGGGGGGAGGACAGCACGGGAAGGGAAGTGAGGGGGTGGTTGAGTACGGAGGCGCGGGAGACAACAGGAGGCACGGGGCATGCAGGTGGTTTGTGTGCTGTGGCAGTGGCGTGGGGTTCGTCCAGCAGCGTACGAGCGGCCCTCTGCTCCCCGCTGCTCAGGCCAAAACGGCAGCAGCGGCATCTGCCATCCGCTGCCCCGGGGTGCTGCATGGCTCAGCCGAACAGCCGTGGGGCTGTTCGCTCCTCGCAGTGCTGTGGGGCTGTGGTACATGAACGAGTGTGGGGGGCAAAGTAGAGTTGCGGGTGGTGCGGTGGTGTTTGCCCCCCGCCCCACCTGACCGGCGTGTTAAACGCCTCCGCCATGGCGTGCAGGTTGACGGAGGAGAAGGGCTGCACGTACTGGCACAGCGCGCGGGTGCGGATGGCAGCGTAGAGGGAGGGCACGTGCTGCGCGGGGGGTAGGGCCGGGGGGGGGGGGCGGGAGAGGGATTGAGGAGGGGAGGAGAGGGGAGAGGGACAGGGGAGGACCGGGTCATGGGGCGTGGCGACAGCCGCAACCTCAACAACCCCACCTCCAGCCTCACCGCCAGCCCTCTCAAGGTCTCTCTCCTCCGCTCCGGCAGTAACCGTAAGGTCCACACCTCCCCCACCTAGTTGTGGTTTCCCTTCCCCGCCTTCCCCCCTCTCCCCCATACACACACACACACACACACACACACCTCGGCCGCATGCAGGTCCAGCAGCAGTGCGGGCTTGAGCGCCTCCAGCCCGCGCAGTGCCGCCGCGTACTGGCTGTTGTAGAAGGCGTGGACCACCTCGCGGATCTGGGGGGCGGGGGCCGGGGGGGGGGCACATGACGTCACATGCGGGGGCCGGGGGCTGGAGCAGGAGGGCAGCCCCTTTCAACATGTACCCCCGCGGCCGCATTCCCCGCGCCGCGCCCGTTTGAACAATCCCGCCCTGCCTCCAGCAGTTCCCCTCCTGCATGTCTCAAAACGTTCCCAACCGCCCAAATCTCCAGCTCCCCTCCCCCCCTCACCTCCGGCGCCCCCTCCAGCACCTCCCTGAACCCGATGTGCGCCACCAGGCGGCTGCGCAGCTCCCCCCGCTCCAGGGAGGCCAGTGCGCACAGGCTGCCGTACAGCGCCACGTCGTGCTGCGACAGCACCTCGCAGTAGGAGGAGCCCAGGTCGGGACCCACCTGGGGCGGAGGGAGGGAGGGGCGGGAGTCGGGGCGGGGGGGGAGTATGCAGGGCGGGGGGGGGGGGTGCGAGCGGCTCGAGGGGGCTGGCGTGCGGGTGTCTAGTAAGCAAACTGGCCGCAAATGGCCACGTGTGTGTGGTGTGTGTTGGGCTGCAGAGGTACTAGCAGCATGTGCCCACCCCTCCCCACCATCCCCCTCTCCCTTCCCCATCATCCCCCATCCAGCCACCCTCCCCCCCACCCTCTTACCTCGCAGAACTTGCGTGCCGCCGCCTTGTACTTGCGCGCCTGCAGCGCCTGCAGCCCCGCGGCGGCCCGCAGCTTGGCGGCGGTGGCGGGGTCGGAGCCGGCGTCGGGGGTGGACTCGGCCTTGCTGACCTGCGGGGGGAGGGATAGGGAAGGGGACGTTGATGTGGTGACATCGTGGATGTGACAATGCGGCATATGCTGCTGCCATGCTGCTACAAGACCGGGTCGCAACACCTGCCTCTTCCCCCCCCCGGGATGCGTTGCGCGCTGGCCGCCTGCCTGCCTGCCTGCCTGCCCACTCACGTAGTTGGCGACGTGCACCCAGTTGCCCAGCTCTATGGCGGTGCGGATGACGGCCAGGCACATGGAGATGACGTGGCGGGAGGTGGTGCAGTAGTCGCGCGTGCGCACGTAGCACTTGAACGCGGTCTGGGAGGGGGAGAAGGGAGGGAGGGAGAGGGTCAGAGAGGGGATAGGGGCGGTCAGAGAGAGGGGAGGAGAAGGGGGACAGAGCAGTGGCAGGGACGCGGAGTAATAAAAAAAGGCTGAGTAAGGAGGCACGGTTGATGGGAAACAGCACAACAGCAGCATGCATGGACTCCTCACGTCGGGTTTTGTCCTGTACTTGCCCCGCACCCTCCTCCCCCTCTTGGTTTCTGGAAAGCAAGCATTCGGTAAGTCTCTGAGTTGCGTGTTGTGTCTCCGTATGCGCTAACTGCATGAGTCGGACTCCGTTGTTCACTATTCATCTTTCCCCTCCCCCCCCACCTGCAGGTCCCCCCGCTCGTACGCCCAGTCGCCCAGGTCCGAGTGCCCCATGCGGATGCTCTCCTTCATCAGGGAGGCCTTGAAACCCTACTTGGTCGGGAGTGGGGGAATAAGGAAACTGACGAGGCAACTAACGAGCGGAGGCGGGAGGGAAGCAGAGGAGTGGGGGGTAGCGGCTGTCAGCGAACGGGCGGCGGCTGCGCCGTATGCAACCTCCACCACCACCATCCGCGGCCCTACACGCACCACCGCTTACCTGCACCCCATTCCAACCTCCACTGCCGCCCCAGCAGCCCCCCATCCGCAACCCAGCGCACATCCCTGCCCACACGATCCTCCTCCGCTTCCTCTGCCGCATTCCCACTGC